ATGCATGTCCTACAAAAGAAAAACAAAAAAGAACGAACAGTTTAATCTCTTTACAATCAATTCATTTTAATCATTTTATTAACCTAAGCACATCAACGTGACATTTGATGACAAATAACCTGACCTATATTAGCATTTTATTGGGGGGGAAGGAGGGGAAGGGGGGTAATAGACAATAAAAAGAACAAAAATGAGCAATTGTTCAAAGATTTCAGCAAACTGTCATCAGCGCTTGCAATGTGACTAGACAGTGTTCCCCCTTATCCAACTTCTCCCTTGAAGTCAGGAAAAGCAGCAATCTGCTACTAGGTATTTTTAACAGTGAGAAATAGTAGAAGAGAGTGATAAAAGTTAGAACTAAAGTGTCTAAATAACATAAGAATTCTGAAAGTTTTCTCCCATTGTGAGTAACATTTTCAGTGTCAAAACAGAATGATAAGTACAGAAAGTTGTTTTTCTCCCCTAACTTTTCTCAAATGTTACACTTTTGTAATAAAGTCAGTTTGATTTATCAGAATCCACCCCTAGCACCTCCACTCTGGCACAAACCAGAGTCTAACTTAGTGGTCCTTAAACACAATACCCCTAACAGTAATTAGACTTATGGTGTTATTCCTGGGTTACTTTAATCACAAACTAAGAAACTCACTCATTTTCCCCCCTTTGCAATGTTGCCCTGTTTTATTTCGCCAGCTTTGTGAAGTCACACTGTAAAGTCACAAATAATAACTCCAATGCCAGTTTCCATAATAAATCATAATTTTGTTTTATATTGTTAGAAAAATAGGGAAATTAGTACGTACTTCCTTTGTGTCACAGTTTCCTGTCCCCTTTGTTGGTTCTAGTCAACAAAGAAATTGTCCAAGCATTTAGTATCAAAGACTCGATTTAGGGCCTACCTCTAAATCTGAAAACAATAATATGCAGCTTGGACAGCTGTAAGAGATGCTGACGAACCTCTGATTCAGTCAGGTGTATTGCAGGAGGCTGCTGTATTCTGGTGTGCCTCTTAATCTTTTTAATGCAGTAGCAGGTTTTTGCATTGATCTATCAGTTTCTCATTGATACTGAGACTAACAAAGTTTGATTTGAAGCGAATCTACTTAAAAGCAACTGAATTCTTAATTATACTCTTCTTTGAAAGTAAAAGCTTAAACTGCATTTAGAATTATGAAAACTAATAAGGATTAAATTTGCCACTAACTAATAAACAATTTTCAGTAAAACAATTAAGCAGCATTGTGCTTACCAAAGGTACAGAGCTAACCTGCTGGAAGTTGGAAGCCAAATAGTCAGACCCTGGTTTCTGGAGAGTTAAATCACCTCTGAACAGAGAAACCTACTGTGCTTGTACCGAAGTAAGCGTGGTTTATCTCACTTGATCGAGATAGGCTGGTACACCCAAAAGTGAAAGTGTTCAACTCTGCAAGTCTGATCAGGCTGTTTTGCCTTGTAAAACCAGACTGAACAACAATAACATCATCATCTAATGGCCATCATCACCCAAAACATCCAGTTCAATCACAGGAGGTATCTGTATTTTGTTTCGTCAACTTCATATCGAAAACACATTTTGATTAATTCAGCTTTAAAAAAAATTCAAAATACAAATAATCTATCCATGACACTTCAGGTCATTTTTTTCAGCTAATCAGAACTAAATGTTGGATCACTCATTTGAACTCCACTTTTTAAAGAGATCTTGACAACAGCTGGAAGAAAATCTGCTAGAGAGACATATAATTCTCAAGAACTGCCCTTTAAAAGAGGAATGATCAAGTGTCTTAACATTTATAACTTGTGTATTCTAGTTAAAGAGGATTAATATCAAGTATGACAGATGTTTAACAAAAGACAATCACAACACTTGGATACTCCATCTACCTCTGTACCACACTGCTCTTACTATAGACCATGTGGTATTTCTCTTCTTACTGGGGGCACAGGCCTTTACTTTCCAGCCTGTCCATTCAGCCACTGTGGCAACACTAGGTTCTTTAGGTCTATACATTAATAGCTTCACATTTTTAAGTGATACTCTTGACACTGAAACTGAAGAAATGTGTCAATAATGAACAGAAGCTGAACAACCAAGCTACTTCAGTATCCAAGATAAATTATTTTTTGAGAGTTAATTCTCAGAGGAAATACATTTAAAGGTTTTATTTATATATATATGCACATGTATTTGTACACATATATAAAGTTATGAATTTTAGGGAATGTCACTAAAAACAGGAAAAAAAAAGGTTAAATTTTTGTTCATGGTAAAAAAGGAGCTCAGTAGGTGTTCTCAATTTATTTCTTTTTTTTATGTATAGAATTAATATAGATTAAAAAAAACAAACCAAACCAAAAAACTCTAGGTTTAAAATCACTAATTTTTCCTATTCTAGAGCTGTAGTTCTCTTCAAAGAAACTGTTGCAGGAAGGAAATTTTCTTTCTGAAGAACACACATCCAGCTTATTTGAGCTACGTAAAGGGCAAGATAAAATTAATCTTAAAAAAATTATTTTAACCGCAAAGGAGTTGCTTGCTATCAAAAAAAACAAAGAAGCAACTTCATAAATTTTTTCTTAGCTCTGCTATGAATCACCTCGACCTCTGCAGGAGGGACATGCTGCCCGCTCCAAAGCTGTCAGGTTTTTTTAAGTTCTAGAAAACTGCTCCAGATGTGCATCAGGGAAGCCAAAGGTAGAAATCACAAAATTCAGTTTCATCGCACACTGGTAGCAGCATGTAGGAAATGGTCAGCATGCAAACAACAGTGGGAATATATCAGTAGGCATCTAACAGAGAGAGACTGGAACAGCAACAAAAAAAGAACAGACACAACATCACAGAGTTAAGCAAAGAGAAAGAAAAGTAGTTTTCCAAGAAAACATAAAAAAGGAAAGAAAAAAAAGAAAAAAAAAGAGAACAGGAAGCTGGTAAATGCTTTCCTAATGCTTTCCTGCACAGAGCAGCTACTTGTCCTTAAATGTTCCAGACAGCTGTGGTAGCAAACATGCGCGTCCATGTGTGTATGCACATTTCTAGTGAGAGTCACTCCGCATAAGCAAGTTACAAACTAGAAGGTATCTTAAAAATTCAAAAGCGTAATTGGGTCAGTATCACGGTGAGATTCAGAAGACTTCCAGCAACAGAAGGCTGATAAAGTGGCTGTCATTTTATCCTCCTCTAATTAGGAATACTGTAGACAAGGTGGAAACATCTAACAGAGTATACCTGTGTTACAGCTTACCTGCTAAAGCTTTCAGTTAAGCAGACAAAAGTAACACAGAATATTCCTTAACAATGCTGCATTCCTCACTTAGCCATCAGGATGCTGCTCCCCCAGCTAACTATGCAAGATGGTGTTTGAAAACAATTCTAAGTATGATACAGCATATGTCAGTGTTTAGGTAAATAACTACCTGCTTTATGGCAAAAGCCTGGAGGATTAAAAGGTGAATTTGACACTTGATAACAGTTGTGACAGCCTATACCAGCAGTTAGAAGGGACTGCCAGGCTCCTCACTCCTCCTTCATGCCACTCTCGGGAAAGAAAACATCTGCTCTTTCCTGAAGACATTGTAAGATTGACCTGACTTTCAATACTGTACTTAAACTAAATCCATGTCAGAAATGCTGTCTCTCCAACCCACTGAGGTCCACAAAGTCCTCCCGTAGCACTGCCATAGGAGCTCAAGTTAATACTGTGCAAAAATAAGAGATTAAATGACATTGTGAACAGTGTTTTCCATTTATAAGTCACCTTCATGGTAAGGGGTGACAGAACTTTTTTTAAAAAAACAGAAAGCCGAGGTGCAGCTCCAGTATTTGTCAGTGCACCAAAAGGAACAGACCCTGTCACACAGCCAGCAGGTTTGTGGGTTGTAACAAGCCAGGCACCAGAAATCAGAAACAACAGCTAGACCTTACACTTTTCTATTCCAGATTGTTTCAGCTGCACTGCTTTACTTCACGCCACAAATAGTCCACATGATGAGCAGCATGTCTAGCTTCCCCAGCAAACTGACTTGTCAGGTCCTTTCCATATATCCCTCTACTGGCTCCTTGGCTGCCACTATAATAAGCTTACACAAGTTACCACATTCAAAAAAAACCCCAAATATAGTACTCTATCCTTTCCATACCTGTATTCTATTGCCAAGATTTGCTCTCCATCCCTTATCACTTGAACTCTGTCAAAGCTTCTGGTCTTAAGCACTGATCTGTCATATGCCTCTTTGCATTAGGCAGCGAAGAAAGAAGGAAGGTAGCACCATTCATAAAACGGTTTGAGTTGGATGGGACCTTAAAGCTCATCCAGTTCCAATCCCTCTGCCACAGGCAAGGGCACCTTCCACTAGACCAGGTTGCTCCAAGCCCCATCCAACCTGGCCTTGAACACTGCCAGGGATCAGGCACGCCAGGGGGTGGCAGAGGGTCCCCACGCCCGCGGGGCGGGCCCCTCAGCACTGCCCAGCCGAGCAGGCTAGAGAAGGCTGGCTGGAAGCGGTCGTTCCGGACACCACTGCTCGCAGGGCGTTTTCACCTCAGGAGGCCGCGCGAGCGGAAACGCTTCACGAAACACCTCCTGCCGGGGTGTACAACCGGAGCCCCAGCTGCCCTACTCCCACCCTGCAGCCTACCTGGCCGCTCCGTCCGCCGCCTCCTCGGCTAAGCCCCGCTCCGCACGCCAGCGCAGGGACACCAGCATAAAGCCGCTATTCCGCCCTCCTCACGGGGAGCCGACAGGCTCTGTACCGACGACTTCAAACCGCCGCCTCGCTCAGCGGGCCCGCGCCCGGCCGCTCTCCACAGCCCCGCCGAGAGGCGCATGCGCGGGAGCAGCCGACGCCCGCGCTGTTCGAAAGTAAACGGCAGCGGGGCGGGGAGCCGCGTTCAAACGGGGCAGGGGACCGCTAACGGCCGCCCTGCGGGCACCTTCCCGCGGCAGGCGGGCCCGGGGCGGCTGTGAAACAGGAGAGTCGAGCAGAGCCCCTCAGGCGTTGTTTTCCAGCTGTAGCTGAAGGAAATGGCGCTTTGTGTATCCCAGATTCGGCTGAACGCTCAAGGCAGAGAGAAAGGCAGACACAGCAGGAAAGAGGTACACTGCTACTCAGGAATTATACACTTGGTGCCGCCATCATCCTCAGTAGCAAAAGGCGAGGCATTAAAGTGGAAAAACGTTGGCCTACAGCTGTGTGCTCTGCTCTTCTGTGCCATTAGTGCAATGAATATCTTACCAGACTTATTCTTCTGCACAATATGAAGGGAACTTCACCCTGAAGCTAGAAAACAAGAGACAAAAAACCCTGACGGCTGCTTCAGGGGGAGCAGGAACAGGCTTTCTGCCAACTACTAAATAAAAGTTAATGCATGTAAGTGGTAATGTTCGGTTTCAATTTAAGCATATTCACCCACTTCATCTGTTGAAAACAAGGTATTTTACATGAAACTGTAATGTGTGGGGTTTGTTCATCAAGAAGTTTGGGGAGAGGGAGGCCCTCTGTGGCTGTCATTATGTGAAACAACACTCCTTTTTGACGCTGTTGTACTCTGTAAGTAATGGGGGGGTGGTCAGTTGTATTGTTGCACAGGATTGTGAGAGAGAAAAGGGGGCTGGGTGGCTCAAAGTGGTGTCTTGTTGCAACGCTTGAGGGGAGGGGGGCTGCGACGGTGAGGAGGCTGGCAGTGGACGCTTCTCGAAGCCTCTGGGAGCTTCTTGAAACTTCCCGTAACTTCCTGGTAATGAGACCGCCTGCAACAAAGGGAACCAATGGGGAAGAGCCATGTCAACATCTGAGTGAGGAGGGGCGACAGGATTGGCTGGGACCTTGAACCGAAAAAGATAAAGGACCACCTCCCGGGGACCGCGTGTGCGCGTCTTGGGCGGAGCGGAGGACGCCCTGGCGCATCCAGCGCATCCAGCGCTGTTTTATCTGCTATCGCTTACTCAGTTTAATAAAATTTATATTTTAAACCAAAATTGGCTACAATATTGATAACGAGTTGGTGCCGTGACTCGGATGGAGAAATTCTGACTGGACTCACATTCTGGGGAGGGGGGCGCCCCACTTTCAGGAGTGGCCCCCTGTTTGGGGTTCATTCTGTCAGCTTCTCCACCAAAGAACCCAAAATTCGATAGCAGATAAAAGATGAAGCCGGCAACCCCTTAATTTTGTGCACGCAGCCCGAACGAAGAGGACAGAAACGAGGATGTGAGTATATTGCGAAGCTGAGATCTGTTCGGTTGGGATCCCGGTGTGTGCATGAGTGAGACGTCCAAGTGCAGACGAAGCGAGTGTGGACCTCTTAGCAGTGCGGTTCCCATCTCCCGCGAGGGACTGGGCCACAAGGAGAGGGCATACGAAAGACTGAGTGAAACAAGGCACACCGGAAGATGGGACAGAAAGAGAGTAAGGGTTCTGATCCCACGGGAGGTTCTAAGGAGAGATTAAAGTTACCTCAGATACCTCCAGATAGTCCTTTAGGTTTAATGATTAAGTATTGGAATGATTATCTCTCTAGGAAAGGGAAAGACAGGGCAAAAATGATACATTATTGTATGGAAGTATGGGGGGGTAAACAGATTAGGACTGATCACCTATATTGGCCAGTATATGGGTCTTTTGAAAATTGGATATGTCAGGCCCTGAATATCTATGTCAATTCGAAAGAGCCTTTTGATTTGGAAGAAAATGAATATTCCCAGTTGTGGATAGGATCAGAGACTAGAGCCAATCTATACCCCTTAAAAGAAAAAGGGGGACGAAAAAAGACTAGGCCAGAGGAGGAGGTTCCCATGTCGCCCCCACCATATATACCTCCTCCTCCTCTACCTCAGCCTTCGCCCCCACCCGAGACTCCCTCTAACGTTCCAAGTGCTCCGTGTGAGGACCCGGAGGCACCCCCAGATACTTTTGAGACCGAGGGACCGGTCACACGAAGTAAAAGCAAGAAACATACTGAAGCCCCACTGTACCCTTTAAGGGAAATATCAGTGGGAGGGGCACACCCAGAAATGGGATATGTTTCAATACCCTTGAATTCAGCAGATGCTAGGGAATTTAAGAAAGAAATGGGGACTTTGCTGGAAGATCCCTTGGGGGTGTCAGAGTGGATCAATTCCTAGGGCCTAATATATATACCTGGGAGGAGTTGCAGGTGATACTGGGGATTTTGTTTACAGCCAAGGAGAGGGATATGATCAGGAGAGCCGGTATGAGAATATGGGACCAACAACACCAACAGGGTCCCGCAGCTGATACAAAATGGCCTCTACAGAGACCTAATTGAAATAACCAAAATGAAATACACAGGGGTCATATGCAAGATCTGAGGACTATAATAATCCAAGGTATAAGAGACTCGGTCCCCAGAGGCCAGAATATCAATAAGGCTTTTAGCAAACATCAGAAAAAGGATGAAACTCCCACAGAATGGCTGGAGCGTTTGCGAAAGAGTTTCCAGCTATATTCAGGAGTAGACCCCGACACGCCAGTTGGGCAAGCATTAATTAAGGCCCAATTTGTAGCTAGTTCATGGAAAAAATTGGAAAAGTTAGATGATTGGCAGTCTAGAAGGCTTGATGAATTAGTGAGAGAGGCTCAGAAGGTATATGTAAGACGAGAAGAAGAGGCAAATAAGAGACAGACCAGAGTGTTAGAAGAAACCCATAGGAGACACACACGAATGTTGGTGGCGGCTGTTAGAGAGGGACAAAAGGAATTTGGAAGGGGAATATCCGGGAGGAAGCCTGAGTATAAGCAGGATCGAGGATTCAAAGGCCCTCCCAGAAAAGGAGAGAAGGAACAACTGATATGTTTCTATTGCAGGGGTAAAGGCCACATGAGACGTGAGTGTAGGAAGCGTATAGCTGATGAGAAAATGTGGAAGGAGGACTGAGGAGGTCAGGGGCTCTATTTGCTGGGGACTCGAGAGACCAAAGAGCCCTTGATAAAACTTAAAAGTGGGTCCCCAGCAACAAGAAATTGAGTTCCTCGTGGACTCAGGGGCAGAGCGATCAACCGTTCAAAGACTTCCTTGGGGCTGTAAAAAATCTTCAGAAGTTGACAAATTCTAGGGGCAAAAGGGGAACCCTTTGGGTGCCTGTAATTAAAGACATAATGTTTGAAACAAGTTCTAAAATTGGGGTGGGGTCATTGTTACTCGTACCTGAGGCAGACTACAATCTTTTGGGAAGAGATTTAATGGTAGAATTAGGAATTAGTCTAGAAGTTCAAAATGAGGAACTGCAAGTAAAATTATGTCCCCTTTGATTAGTAGACCGAGAGAAGATAAATCCGAAAGTATGGTATAATCCTGATACAGTAGGAAAATTGGATATCAAACCCTTTTCGGTAATAATTAGAGATCCGGATAAACCTGTCAGGAACAAACAGTATTCTCTCTTGGAAGAGGGACGATGGGGGTTGAAACCTGAAATAGATCGTTTACTCGAAAAGGGACTGTTGGAGCCCTGTATGTCCCCTTTTAATACTTCAATCTTACCTGTGAAAAAGGCAGATGGAAAATACAGGTTGGTTCACGACTTGAGAGAAATAAATAAAAGAACAGTTTCTAGATTCCCTGTAGCAGCAAATCATATACAATCCTGAGCAAAATAAATCCCAAAGACTGTTGGTATAGTGTAATAGATCTAAAAGATGCATTTTGGGCTTGTCCCTTACAGGAGGATTGTAGAGATTTTTTTGCTTTTGAATGGGAAGACCCTGAGACACATAGGAAGCAGCAATTAAGGTGGACAGTTCTCCCTCAGGGCTTCACAGAATCCCTTAACTTATTTGGACAAGCCTTAGAGCAGATATTACAAAAATACGAAAAGGGGAGTAGTGTGACATTAATACAATATGTTGATGATCTGTTATTAGTGGGAGCACAAGAGGAGGATGTTCGGTGAGAGAGTATTTATTAAATTTTTTAAGTTTACAAGGGTTGAAAGTATCTGAATCAAAATTACAGTTTGTGGAAGAGGAAGTAAAATATCTGGGACACTGGCTCAGCAAAGGAACAAAGAAACCAGATCCAGAGAGAGTTACTGGTATATTATTTCTAAAAGCCCCAACTACTAAGAGACAGGTACAGCAATTGCTTGGCTTACTTGGTTATTGTAGGCAATGGATAGAAGACTATAGTAAAAAGGTTAAGTTTTTATGGGCAAAATTAACCAAGGATGGCCTATTAAAATGGACCGAATCAGATGAGGCTCAGTTACAGGAACTGAAAGAGGATTTAGTTAATGCACCTGTCCTAAGTTTACCTGATCTAAAAAGACCTTTTTATTTGTTTGTAAACGTAGATGAGGGTACCGGGTATGGGGTTTTGGTGCAGGATTGGGCCGGACGGAAAAAACCTATAGGATATCTATCAAAATTGTTAGATCCAGTCAGTAGAGGGTGGCCGACAAGCTTACAAGCCGTGGTGGCCACTGCGCTTCTAGTAGCAGAAGCCAGAAAAATCACATTCAGGGGGGAATTAAAGGTATTATCACCCCACAACATTCGGGGAGTACTACGGCAGAAGGCTGACAAATGGATTACTGATACTAGGCTCCTCAAATACGAAGGATTTCTAGTTTCTTCTCCTAAATTGGAATTAGAAAGCACGAGCCTCCAAAACCCCGCTCAATTTTTATATGGGGAACTGGCTCAAGAATTATCACATGACTGTATACGTGATATAGAGGAACAAGTAAAAATACACTCAGATTTGGAGGAAGAAGAATTAATAGGAGGCGAAAAATTCTTTGTAGATGGTTCTTCAAGAGTGATAGAAAGGAAAAGGAAGTCAGGATATGCCATTATAAATGGGAAAAACTTTAGTGTTGTGCAGTCGGGACCCCTGAACCCCAGTTGGTCCGCGCAGGCATGTGAGCTGTATGCAGTATTACAGGCCTTAAAACTATTGAAGAATAGATGGGCCACAATATATACAGACTCTAGATATGCATATGGTGTAGTACATACTTTTGGAAAAATTTGGGAGGAAAGAGGATTGATAAATTCTCAAGGAAAAGGCTTAATTCATGAAGAGCTAATAATTCAAATCCTCCAGGCCCTGAGAGAACCTGAAAGCATTGCAGTAGTCCATATAAAAGGACACCAAAAAGGAACAACCTTTGAGATAAGAGGAAACAATTTAGCAGACATGGAGGCAAAACGGGCAGCTCTGGGGGTTGTAAAAATAATGCCAAACTCCTCTATGGAGTCTGAAAAAAACGATGCACATAAATTTATTCAAGTAGAAAAATTGACTAAAATGGGTCTAGAAGAACAACAAGGAAAATGGAAATAAGAAGATTGGAGACAAGTTGTCTCAAAGACTTTAGCTCGCCAAATTATGGTGAGAATACATGAAA